TGAATCCTGCAGTAATCCATAATCAGTTCCTTCCAAAGTTGTACCTGTTTCTCACTAGTCTCCATCATTGGTTGCAAACTGCATAAAAATCAACCCAATTCTTAAAATGCTCATTAACAATCAGGATGAAAAATGACAAAGATGATGATAATGGTGAAACTTTTCTAAAAAACTTTTCAGCTCCACTTCCAGATCATCTTCTGGGACATGTTAAAATGGAAGAAATAAGAGCTCCGTTCGGTGGGTACTTCTGCTTTTTTCTATTTACATAATGTTTTTAGTTCATTTCCTATTTTTTTTTCTTTCCATTTTCTACTGGAAAAAGTCAAATAACAAAAGCATGAACCAAATTTGAAATGCCAACATTCATCTGATATCGTAGAGTGCTCACTCTAACCTTTCCAATTACCGAAGTTTCATCTCTAGTAACATAAAATACCATAAATATATCAACATATTTGAACTAAAGTATCCAGCATTCTTCACAGATGAAGATCAACCTTCTTGATGGATATTTAAAATTATTACTATTCTTCGTTTCTTAAAAGGAGCAACAAGAAGGAACAATAAATAGAAAGTGAATAAAGCAAAACCTGAAAGGAACAATCAATTATGGAAAAGGAGAGGAGAATACGTGAAGTATAGACGGTAATTGAAAAAGTGAGGAAGCTTGAAATCACCCAATTTCTGCATCTCTCTCAGGCTTTCTTTACAGTGGATGCTGTTGCACAATTAACATATCAGACATAAGAGAAATCTAGCAGAAGAACAACAACAAAACAAGAAGAAATATCGAAAATCAACAAGCAGAGATAAAATGAAACAAGAAAAACAGAGAAGACCAATAGGGAAATCCGCTAAACGAATCGAAGACTAGGGAGCAAAAATCATGAAAGCGAGATCAATAGTATGATGTTCATGCTTTATTAACAGGGAGTTACCTTAGAACAATTCATTGAGTTTGCCGTTAAATGTATGTTGTGGCAATAAGAAACACATTTGACATGTATTGTTTTTTAAATTTTCTTTGAATAGGATATGTTTAGAATTTTTTCAGTTTATTGATAATGCATACATTTTTTTATAGACATAGTTGCTAGTGTTCAGATCTTTTAAGAATAATAAACATGATATAATGACAAAAATATTCTCTAATGTTTGGACAAATGATCATTTTACCTCAAATTCTCTTTTTAGCATTTTATCCTCCGACATTTTAATTTTTGATCAAAACAGACCCAACTGAATGAACATTGTTAGTTGAATAACGATCGACTCATGTTGCACTTTTTGTAACATGATACATGTCATGTCTACAACATGGGTTGACTGTTAATCAAATAACAGTTTTCATCCAACCGGGTATGTTTTGTTAAAAAATTGAAACGTTAGGGGGTAAAATATTCTAAAAAAAGAATATAGTGCAAAGTGATAATTTATGAAAATATTAGGTGTAATTTTGTCATTGTGTCTAATAACATTCCTTTTTATTACTAAAATCAAACAATGAATTCATATTTTTAACTTTTGTTAATAATTTGAGGTGTTTACAATGTAGTAACTGTTCATAATCTTTCTTAGTCATTGACAATGTACACTCATCATGCAAATGCAATTACTCGAAATGATTCGTTCCTCAAATACCCATTTGCATAAAAATTGTGAAACCCTCAAAGTTTTTCTCCAATTTATTCTCCATTAAAAGCAAGCTCTTCTTTTTTGGGGTTTGAGGAACCATTTAGGGTAGAAAATTCTGAAAATGTACATGTGTGTTAGCTGCTTTCACTTTGAATGCTGGTGTATCGATTGAATTCATGAAATCAAGCTTTTAGTGGGGACATAGAAGAGAGTAGCGATGGCATTCTTCGATACTGTAATCAAGCAATTGCATGCTTTTACTTGTATGACTGGTGAGGTTAGGGTTGTAAATAAGACGAGACAGATCGTGAGTTGATTGAGATCGACTCGATCAAGGCTCGATAAATACTCGGATCGAATGGACTCAACTCGAGTTCTTAACGAGCCGAAACAAGCTACTCGATATTCGACTCGAAAAGCTCGTGAGCAGCTCGAAAAAATGTTATATTATAATTTTAGATTTTTTAAAATTACATTATAAAAAAATTATTAAAAATATATTATTGATAATTATAAAATTTTAAAAATATATTAAAAATTATATAATACAACTACCCTCAAATTTTAATTTTTTTAATTAAGCAGCCCAAGTCCAATTGTTACATTGTATATTACTAAAAGAAAAATAAAAAGCCTATTTAATTAAGAACATGGTATATTACACCCTAAACCTTAAACCCTAAATTATAAACTCTAAACACTAAATCCTATACCCTAAACACTAAACCATACCTTAAGCCCTAAACCCTAAACTCTTAATCCAAATATATGATAGGGGTTAAGTTATGCACATGAAGGTAACATACAAATTATGCAAAATGAAATTAATGAAATTAACAAAGGTTTATATGTAAATAAACTAATAAATCACACTTGGTCAAATCAATCAATAGGTCCATTATCAAAACAAACGGTGATCAAAACATAAAATAAAAATAAATTAACAACCCTAATCATAAAAATATAAACCTTGATTAATGACGAAATCATAAGATTACAAATATAATAGGTCCTAAAATGCTAATACTCCATTTTCTAAAATGGGCTACCTCCACCATAAAAACCCTTTCTTCTTCAATCCTCTCGAAAACACTCACACTGCTCTTGAGCGAAGGCATTATCCCCAGCTTCCTCCACCAGAAAAACCCTTTCTTCTTATCCATTAATTTCTCCATTTGCATTTGCATCGCCACGCACTGGCTCTGCTCCCTCACCACCTCTTCTTTCAGCTTCTTTATCTCCATCTGTTGAGCGTTGATATCTCGTTTCGCGGGCATCGAGCCGGGGGTTCGACTCCGGCTGTGTTCGGACTCCTCATTATGTTGAATGATCCGCTCCAATCTACGTGCTGGTTGAGCTTGGTTTGCTAGGAGAACAGCACTTGAATCACTGTCACTGCTCAAACGGGCAAACGTTCGTTTTGAGCAGCGTGCAGGGATGCTTCTGGTGAGAGTTTTTGACAGTCTATCAATCTACAGAGAACTTTCCTTTCTTGCTTCAACACACATGGATGTGCCTGTAATAGTGTAATCAAGGATTTAAATAACTTTTTCGGTCACGTTTTCGATCGCGTCGCGTTTATCGCAGTTACGGACATAACGAATGTCATCGCAGTCACTGCGGATGCCGCGGTCGTGAATTATTTTAAATTTTACACAACTTATCATAAAACATAATATTTATAATTATAATTATAAGGAGTCATTTTTAATGATTTTTAGAATGTTTTCTAAAGTTAAAATGATATATATATATAATATAGTTTAACCATATAGAAGATTTTAAACTCTGATAATAAGATAAGATAATTAATTCATGATAACATTGTGAACACTTTTTTCCTCCTTTCTTCCTACTCTCTTATCTCAACACTCAAGTATAAAAAAAGGTAAAAAAAACTCCAAAACCATAACATGTTTTAGCCTAAATCCAAAGCGTGAATACTTTTTTCTTTTTCTTCAACAATCTTCAACTTCGATGAAGATTCCTTTCTCCGATTACAATGAATTTCACTCTGGCGAGACTCGCAAAACAGGTTCGTTCTTCCTTTTTACTTTTTCATTTTTTTTTCTTTTTAAATCTCAACATGAATGTATAAAAAACGTAAATTTGAAAAGAAAGAAAAAAAGGCTTGGTGACGATGAACACAAAAAAAAATCTTTCCTTAAGTTTTTTTTTTACAGTAACGGTTGGAATAACAGTGATTGCGTCCCGTTATCGACGCAATCGTCCGTTTCTCGTTAAATTGCGGGCGCAATCAACCGCGATCGGTGTGAATCTGTGACTCACCGCAAAAATCATGAATAGCGGTTTCGAACGATGGGTCAACTGCAATATCGCGGCCGCTATAGTATTTTCAGAACGCTATTTGATACCCTGAGTGTAATCTCTGCTTCATAGAGCTATTTCATATTTTACATGAAAAAAAATTGTAAAATGAATCAAAAGTAGTGACAGTTCTTTTAGGAAATACAACCCCTTAATGTTTTATTCGGATTCATGTTCCTAGCACAACTCCTACTTGGGAGTAGAATAAGATAAATGATACAAAATAAGAGGGAAAATAACTCACTTGTTCATGTCCCCTTATCTTTATAAAACCCCGCAGCAATTCCCTTTTGTAGCGGCAATCACCAGTTTCAACTGCCCAAATCGGTAGGTGAATAGTTCTAGAATCCTTGAGCCTATTATAAAAGGAGAGGGACAAGCAGGTTTAAAGCGTATTAGCGCTTGGGGCAATTCGAGCTTGAATCGAGCTCAAAATAAGCTTGAAGCGAGCTCAAAATCAAGCTTGAGAAATTTTTTTGAGTTTGAGTCTTTCCGAGTTCGAGTTTCAATATTATATTTTGAATTTGAGCTGAGCTTGATAATTTTTAACTCGCAAGTTTTCGAATCGAGCTTACTAAGTTTTTGAGTTTGAGTTGAGTTTAGCAATATTCGAGCTTGACTCGGCTCGTTTACACCCTAGGTAAGGTTGCACAAGAAAAACAGTTTTATCAGGATACCCTAAATCATTCCGCTTTCTGACTCTGTAAAAATGTTTATTGGTTTGATTATTTCATCTCCAAACTTGAACAAGCCTAGGAAATACTAATAATACTTGTGTTAACTGTCTAGGGAAGAGACCCATGATAATGGAAATTATGATTTCACCTGTAATCCATACAAGAACATGTTCCATCTTTGACATGGTGGAAGTAGGAAGCTATTTTTCAAGTTTAACAAGTATCCTTAGGCATGCCAGTGCCACTGTAACATCCAACAAATGATGAAAAGTGAAAAGTACAGAGGGAGAGTTGCTCCTTTCATAAGAATAATCCGATGATCAACTACCAACTAATAATATCCCCACGTGACTTGTCTCTATCCTCGTTGCTCACCATAGACTTTTACTTTTCTTTTTCAAATAACGAAATTGTTACAATAGGAAAAAAGGAACTTGTGGGGGGAAATCATGATGCAATAAGATCAGGTGTTTCAGCTTCAATTGATAACCAAGCGGTTTGTACTTTGCCTACCCAATTATCCAACCGCTCGCGTAACGATTTGATCTGTGGAATCCCCAAAACTCTCGGCTGCACCCAAGAGACATGTATAGTTCCCTCAACTTGATCAATTGTGCCCTCAATCAGATGAACCTGTAGCAGAGATTCACGTAAAGGTTATACAGGTAATCTTCAGGCGTTTTAACTTTCTACTATGGCTAGTGGTTGTAGGCAGAGACTGGACTTGTACGAGTTCACTTACAGACAAGCTCTTCATAAGAAGATGTTCAGCATCCTCAATCGACAGTTTTGTTCGCTCAGCAATAACTTTTAATGGAATGGTTCGGTCCTCAGATGGGCGGCTTCATGGAAACATATTGTAGTTTAGTGTTTAACACTTTACACATACAGATATCAGCAACTTACTCTGAAGTCTAAACTGATCCATCAGAGGACTCTGCAAACACGCACCTGAATATAATCTCCATTAAGCATAGAATATTGATTTTTTCCAAGAGCTTCTTCTCATTCTCAACCAAGGCTGGTTGGTCCCTCAATGCAGCGTTGTGCACATGACACAATTCTTGATAGCGAGCTAAATCACCTGAGTTGAAGGCCTGAAGAATATGGAAAAGCCACTCAACCCTAGTCCCCAGAAGACTTGTTATCTGTAAAAGATGCCAATGATGTCATCATCTCAAACACAATAAAAGTGTATATAGTTATGTATATAGACTAAAGCAGTGATAGTCAGTAGGAATAAAACCTAAAACACTAGACATTTTCATGTCAACCTTCCACAATGACTAATAAGCATGCAACTGCAATACCATGAAAGAAAATACAAAATGAAAAGAACGTCTTATCATATGGAACTTTTCAATCACTACTTAGGCTCCCTAGCACCTCCCACGTACATCTAACTTCAAGATCTCAAAGTAGGACCTATCGGCCTTACTTTGGTGCAATTAGAAACGCAAATACTCTGAAATGTCAATTGTACATAATTATACAGTGAAAAGTGCTTACACATTTTCACATTCGAATCAACATCAAACCAAAGAATGCCCACAGATAGCAGATTGCACAATAATATGGAAAGAATGCTATACCAAACAAACATTTAGTTTGTAGCATAAGTAAACTTACTTTTATTCTAAAGTCATGATGCATTGAAATGTTACAATCCTTTGGAAGTTTCAACTTTCAGGTTGAACCATGATTATAAATAAACCTATAAAGCTAATAAATTCTCATTATCATGCATCTAGTTTCCTTGTGTTCCTACAATGGACAATCAACCACTACATAGATCATCTCCACAACAGTTAACCTACACCAAGATTATCTACATTATTCATTTAACCACTACATTATTCATTTACAGCCCAAACTAGGTTAAAACTAAAAGTAAATTTTAACCAGAAATAGCAATATGCCTCAATGAACCATTAAATAGGCAACTTGCATTATCAAACATTAAAAGTCAACTAATGGGAGCTTAAATCATTAATGGCAAACAAGGATGAATACAATTTGAATTAAATAGACAAACAAACAACTAGCATGACAAGGAACTATTCTGTCTGGGGAAAAGAACAAACAGCAATTTATGGAAAATTAAGAAACTTGATTTTCTTACAATAGGATGAGCAAGCAGTTCTCCAAAGTTGTAGATGTTATCTCCCAGAAGAGCGGAAAGGGAGAGATCAAATGCCAAATCCTACAAAAAATTAAAGGATTAAAATAAAATGAAGTAAAAAGATACATATATCTACTGACCAAATAAAAGCAGTAAACTTCCTTTATTTTATTTATTTTTCCATCTACTTTTAACGACTGAGGTGCAATGGTTAGTCCTCAGCCTTTCCAGCTGCAAGGCAGACTACTTAAGCCCATTAGCCATGCCACAATCAGCATTACCTTCCAAATGTCTCTCATTTTACGGTGGTTCTATTGTCAATTATATACCTGGCAACTAGATTCATCTATGTTATTATAAACAATATATATTGAAGATAAGGGGATGTATAGCATGATAGAAGGCTCAAACTAGTAAGACTAGAATTTCGACTTTCAAGCAATGCAGCACATGAATCGGTTGATAAAACAATAATATATTGCAGGGACTCTGAGGAACAAGGAGTTTGTAATATCAAATCCTAATAAACAAGTAAACTTATGAACTCAAGTAGTATCAAAAGATATTCAATTTCGCTGCCAGAAAACTCATAAATCTATAAAAACATACCAGCTTAAAAGATTCTGAGAGAGATGCCACTGATGTGTAAGCAAGATATAGTAGAGCATTTTTGTAGAAGTCAGCAAATTCTTGGAGAAACTTATGGTATTGAGATGAAACCCAATAATAGCTAGCATATACAGATGGATCTATGTCAGTCATACCGTCAAGGGTACTCTTTCCATCATCAAGAAGTTTCTTGCACTCCTTTTGGTCACCCTGCTCAAGCTTGAATTTGGCAATTTGCATCTTAATATAAAAAATAGGCTCTTCTATGCGCTGCTCTTTAGTGGCTTGAAGCTTTTCGATCACACCTTCTAGATAACAAGTAGAAGCTTCTTTGTCAGAATACTGCCGAGAAACTATAACAGAAAAATGTGCAAGCTTGAGAAGATTAATCTTGGTCTCGAAGTCGGTGATAAAATTATGATACAACTGTATCAGTGCATCTCCAGCCTGAAATTAAGAGAAACAAGTTACGGGAAGTTAGATAACCTATCCAACATCTAGTGCGTCAGTACACTTAGTTCATTTACCGCCACACTTATTTATGTAGGCATGAATATATATATATATATAAACAAAGAGTATATAAACAAAGACTACTCTTTAATAATGAGAACCATTAACTAAACCACACTCCAGATTAGGTATCCAAAGTCCAAACAAGACAAGCTAAATGAGCCAGGCGACCAAATAGGAAACCATGATTGAACTTTCCACATGTAGCATACAAAAAAAAGGGGTAACGGAATGTAACATGAGCTTGCCCCTAATCACTTTCCTTCTACAATAAAGATTCCCCCCCCCCCCAAATAATAATAATAATAATAAACAAGTAAAGATGTGAAAGCTTTAGAAGCTAATGTTTCATAATTCATTCATATGACTAAGATATAACATAAGCTTGCGCATCTCACTTTCCATTCTACAATTACGAAAATAATTCTCTAAAAGTAAACATATCAAAACTTTAGAAACTAACGAAAATTGCATTCCATAACACTCTTCAATGACAAGAAAAAAAATTACAATCAACAAGTATAAAGAAAAATTAAACTGAAACCATCTTCCCCAATTATCTTCGAGTTATTGAACATCACAGTGATAAGCATTTCTTTTTATTTATTTTCAATTTCAAAATAAGAAAGCTAAAGAAGGAAAATGGTCCAAATGAAACCCCAGTTCTATACCAAAATCCTAACTTCTCAAACTCAATTAAAAAAAAAAGAAAAAAAGAAGAAATCAACTCCATTCAAAAACCTTAATATAGAAGAGATCTACAAACCGTAAGCCAAAAACGAAAGGAATATAGAGGAACCTGAAAGACGGTGAGAGCAACGAACTGCTCAAGCTTGAGAGTGAGCTGATGCCAAAGCTTCTTCTGATACAGATCTGCAAGAGAACTATACCAGTCGGCTAGCTCTGGATGCTGATTTCGAAGAGACTCCAGATATTGCAAGGCCGCCATCGATCCCGACTCCACTACACAGTCGAAGCAACCAAAGAGAAGCTGAAGCCTAAATAGGGTTTTTTTTCTTCTTCCGATTTTTGTTTTTGTATATTATTTATAATATTAATAACTGAATTCTTGGAGGGGGGGGGGGGATTTGTCTTGTGCTCAAAGAAAAGAATTAACGGAACACGAAAAACGCAAAAGTACAAAGTCGGGTCGGGGTAAAAAGGCAAACTGAGGAGATGTATCAGGAAATGTGGGTTAATATACAGTTAATATACGGTATTATTAGATATATTAAAAGATATTTAATAAATTTGGTTTAGCGCTACCGGAAATATTGAGTAATAATAATGTAGTAGGTCTAAATCATGAAGAAATATTAAAAAATTTGGTAACCGGCAAACTTAACTTGTCGGTTTGTGTCGATCTAAATTAAAAATATATCGATCCATATCAATATAACAGGTAAAAATATGACAAAACCGATCATGAAAAGACAATATCAGTAAAGTCCTACCGGATATATTGAACGTGTCGATGCTTTAATATAAGTATCGGCACTTTGTGAATTTAAAAGAGAAGTAGTTTTAGCGCCTATAAAGTGTCAATACTTTATAAAAATTTATCGATCCACAACTATATAACAGGTAAAAATATGAAAAAACCGGTATCGAAATGATAAAATCGGTAAAGCGCTACCGGATATATTATAAAATATCAACACTTTGTGAATTTAAAAGAGAAGCAGTTTTAGCGTCTATGAAGTGTCGATATTTTATAAAATGTATCGATCCACAACGATATAATAGGTAAAAATATGATAAAACCGGTATCGAAATGATAAAACCGGTAAAGCTCTATCGGATATATTGAAAGTGTCGATACTTTCATAAGTACGGGTAATAAATTATCAATACTTTCAAAGAAATAGGTAATTATCCTATCGAAAGTATCAACACCTGACATAAAAGTATCGACACTTTGGTAGTTGTATCGATTACATATAAATAACATATCCGATGAAAATATAAAAGTCATAGCTAAATATCCTTTGAAAATAGATAGAACATACGAGTTTTTGAAATCGAAGCGTAATTGTTGCTGCATTTCAAAAGGCGTTTCTAAAGCGAAGTTTGTTTGTTTGTTGCTGCAGTCGAATCGAAAAGTATGTTGTCGAAACCCTAGTTTTTTATTATTACAGTAATCGGAAATAGGGTCTTTATGTGTTGTTTGGGGTTTTGGAGTAAAGAAGCATTTGAGACTAATTACAGGTAGAAAGTGATATTCAAGGTAAAATATAAATGTCGATACTTTTATTAAATATTATAGGTAGAAAATGATATTATAGGATGTATAAATGTGCCGACACATTTTGTAGTGGCCATTCAAATTCTTTTGAAGAAAATCATTTTACAACAAGAGTAGTTATCTATATTTGTATATTGAATAAAGTGTATGTAACAAGTATTTGATTTGATTTGCGTAAACTGATATATGAAGGAAAAATTGAGTCAATGGGTTGAAAATTGTTGGTGGCGCAGATTACTTTGAAATTGAGGCCGAGACTCGAAAGCAACCAAATGGTGGATATATGTACTTCTAGTAAGTATCAATGTCTTTTTGTTATTATTGTTGAAATGGTAATTGGATTAAAGTATTTAAGAACTTTAAATTGATTACAAATTTTAAATGTTAACAGTATGGCCGAATGCAAAAGGATGAAGGAAGATGGCACACACAGCGCTTCGGTATGTAAAATGAAATTGACATTGAGTATTATTTAGTATTAATGTACTGATTAAGAAACGTTTATGCTTAATATTAGGTGACAAAAGATGTGAGGTCGAAATGGAATTCGATGAGTGATGCTGAAAAGGAACCTTACATCACACAGTCAAGGAATGATAGTAAAGAATACAAAGAATGGAGGAAAGCACATGAAAAGAAGGTATTCATTAAACTTGTAAATACGTTGATACAAAATATATAAGAACTATAACATTATATATTGTTAAAAAATGTAGGAAGGGTCGACAATGTGCAACATTAAAAGGGTGAATTCATTAATTAAACACCTTAAAGAGAAGGGTCAGTTAAATGTACTAGGAGAAATAGGGTTTGGATCGTTGTTAAGAGTAAGGGATCGACATATTCAGAGGGAATTATGTCGATCCTTAATGGTGCAATTTGATGTCAAATAATGTATTGCTAAGTATGGTGATTTTTCATTTCCTCTCGGGATCCCATGTGCTGCAGCCGTATTGGGGGTAGAAAATGAAGGCAAAAGTGTTGTAGAAGTCTCTAAGAGTAAGAACTGGAAAGCACTTGCCTCCAAATATGGTTTGAAGCAGAAGGTGACATATGTTGAACTTGAAGAGGAAATCAAAAGTGGATCTTACGGGGGGATGAGCTGAAGGCCAGAGTTCTATCGTACCTTGTCGGGATCTTTTTTTGTCCAACGGGTGATACGTCAACGAACAATGACTATATGAAGCTCATTTTCGATGAAGGCTTGAAGGGTGAACTCAATTGGGCTGAATATGTCCATTCGAGATTGATTGAATCAATAATCACCTTTAAAAAGGGCAGCCAGAGATACCTCAAAGGGTGCATAGCAATCTTAGAGGTAACAATCTTAGAGGTAAATGAGTTGAAGAACTTTTTTGTGTTTTTTATATAAAATGATAGTATAGTTATTATATAAAATTATAAATTTTATTATAAATGCAGGTTGCACTGTTCGAATTTTGGTCGGGCTGTGAGGCATTGTCGGCTTATGAAAGAACCGGAGTGGCACGCATCCGTGCATGGGGGAAATAAGAGGTGGTTAGAGTGATGGCGAAGTTGAAGTTTGATAGACCGAGGAAGCAAGAAAGGGTAATAAATGTAATTAAATAATATTAAGAATATAATCAATGTCTTAATATTATAATTTAATTTTGAAGGTTATTGGCAAGGAGGTAGAGGAGGCAGAGGAGAAGAAAGAAGAGATGGTTATATTGGGGGATGACGGTGAGGAAAAACATAGTAACTTCGACATTTTGATGTTTGAATTGGCTGATATAAAAAATCAATTTGATATCATGCAAAGACAATCAAGAGTCGAAGAGAAACTTGAGAGAGTCGAAGAGAAAATTGAGAGAGTCGAAGAGACGCTTGAGATGCATAAGGGGGAAGTGGAAGGAAAAATAGATGGAGTGGTGAAAGAAGTAGAGGTGTTGAGGGGTGAAGTGGTGAAAAAAGTTGAGGTGTTAAAGGGTGATCTTAAGATGTTGACGGGTGAAAAATTTGATGGAGTGGTGAAGGAGGTTGTGGAATTGAGGAGTGAACTTACGGGGGTGGTTGATCAATACTTGGATGAATGAGAAAAATTGAATGGTGAAATAAAAGAGATGAAGAGCTATGTAGAGCAAAAATATGATGAACTGAAAAATATGAAAAAGAAAAGAGGGAGGAGGAAGAAGAAAAGATGGAGGAAATGAGGAGGAAGGATGTCGATGTGATCTATACACCAGAGAGTGTTATAGATGCATATTTGGATTCGGAATGTCATGCACCCCAGAAGAAGAAGCAGAAGGTAAGTTGAATAAAAGAAAACTTAATTTGATCTTTATCATGTTGTTGTGACAAAAATTTGTATGCAAAATTGTAAGTTGAAAAAGAGGATATTCCAAGAGGAATTGATGACATCGAAGCTGCAATTTGTGATTATTTATGGAATAGTGGGTTAGAATCGGGGTAAGTGAAATATATTGTTTTGTGAGTGATATTTAAATATTTCATGACAACATATTAATCCTAATGATTCATACAGATATTATGTAATCTCAATAGGAAATCAATTCGCTAGTGTATACGACGTTGCAACGTTGAAGCCTACATAATGGGCTGGCGGTGTGGTAAATAGAAAGTACAAAATGTTAAAACTTATTGAATATGTTCTAATTGTGTAATTAATTTTGTTAGGTTATTGATTTGCTCGCCTGGACAGTATGCTACGATTCGAAAAAGTCACTCCGGTTGGCTACCTTCCATACTACTTAGCGGAGAGTTAAATTAATAAATGTTGAAAAGTAGTGTTATAGACGGTAAATTAATAATGATTGTTGTGTAATTGCAACAACATGCGTTGGATGCCAACAACAAAGAAAGTGTTGAGAGTATTGCTACCTTTTGGGGTCCCATATTGGATAACTATGTGAAATTCACCGACTGTGAGAAGGTAAGACACTATACCAATTGCAAATGTTGTTTTCGGATATAGAATGTTGAATTTTGTCAAATTGGGTGTGAAATTTGTTGCAGATCATGATCACAATAAACTACCATAATTCACATTGGTATTTGTTGGTGTTGGATATGGTAGATCGTGTTGCAACAATATATGATAGTATGTTTACATCTGAAGCAGCTAAACTGAAATACAAGTAATGTATGTGTATGTATGTATGTATGTATGTAGTATGTATGTATGTATGTATGTATGTATGTATGTATGTATGTATGTATGTATGTATGTATGTATGTATGTATGTATGTATGTATGTATGTATGTATGTATGTATGTATGTATGTATGTATGTATGTATGTATGTATGTATGTATGTATGTATGTATGTATGTATGTATGTATGTATGTATGTATGTATGTATGTATGTATGTATGTATGTATGTATGTATGTATGTATGTATGTATGTATGTATGTATGTATGTATGTATGTATGTATGTATGTATGTATGTATGTATGTATGTATGTATGTATGTATGTATGTATGTATGTATGTATGTATGTATGTATGTATGTATGTATGTATGTATGTGTATGTATGTATGTATGTATGTATGTATGTATGTATGTATGTATGTATGTATGTATGTATGTATGTATGTATGTATGTATGTATGTATGTATGTATGTATGTATGTATGTATGTATGTATGTATGTATGTATGTATGTATGTATGTATGTATGTATGTATGTATGTATGTATGTATGTATGTATGTATGTATGTATGTATGTATGTATGTATGTATGTATGTATGTATGTATGTATGTATGTATGTATGTATGTAT